AGAAGCAGGTAGCTGGGGCTCACTGAGCTGAGCTATTGCTGCAGCTGTGGGCCAAAGCACCCTGTGGGCTGCAGCGGAGTCGGGTCTGGTCTGTCACTGGACTGGGCCTTCACCACCGTCTTTGACGATGAAACGACTTTCCTCCAGGATGTTACAGGAAACTGCCGACCCGATCTCCTCAGGAATCTGGATTTTTATAGAGCCCAAGGCAGGAAAACTCTGAAGGTCCCGAGTGCAAAAACAAGGCGTACCCAGTGCAAAACTTTGGGGCCTTGTGCACATTCAGTGCCATGTGCAGGTTGGTGGTGCTATGAGCATATCCATGTGTGGTGTGCAAAGGTGGTGTTTTGGCGGCAAAGTCACTTGGGTTCCATTTTGAATTGTAAAATCAAAATAGACACTGTGGGCTGAGAGACAATGTCCATACAGCTAACACCTTTTACTCAACATTATTTCAGTCTATCTTCTTCAGTTATAACTAGCATCAGTATGAGCCATGTTTTGTTGTTGCTATTGTTGGATGGTCAGTTGTGACAGGTGGAGGAAGATTTTTCTCATCTAGGAAACATAGAAATTAGGCTTAAAAACAACCAAACTACTAAAAGCTTCTCTTCTTGTTTAAAATATGATTCTGCTGATACTGAAGTCAACTCTCAATGACTTCAGTGTCTGAGATTAGATGCTTGAGGAAAGATATTGCTTTGCTTGTAAATGGATGGGGCTTTTAATCATAGGACTATATGAGCTCGTATCAGATGATCACTTCTTGACATCAAAAGAACTCAGGCACAAAACTCAGCTCTTCTTGAATACCTTTTGGATTGTTTTGGATACTTGCTTGAACTTGTGTAACCAATAGCCCATTTCATACCTTATCAAGCCTTGTGTATTGTCGCAAGGTGGTATTAGAGTTGACAGATGCAAGAACTCTTGCTAATATTGCACCAAAACTAAGATTTTTTACAGTGCAATGTCTGAATTAGAATGCACTGAAAACATTTTTTCAGGATTTTGACAAGTCTCTGTTTTATGATTTTGCTTGTATTATATAGTCATAGCAGAAATAACATGAAATAGTCCCTATGATTATTATGGTGTAATATCCCACAGCAATCATGTGCCCAGCCAGTGCAAACTGAAACATAATTTATTACATCATAGAAAATGTAAATGAATAAATAAACTGTGTAGATCCAGATTTTCAAAGATGGATCTGAGATCATTTCTAGGGGAAAATCTGGCCATTTACTTAGATCTCTTAAATAGGCACTGAGGTTTCTTGAGAATTCTGGCCTATAATGCATAAAGAGGCCATATTTTTCAAGTAAAAATGTTCTTGTTTTTTTATACTATTACAATTTCCTCAAAAGGTAAGAGAGGGAGTTTGTGAGAGAATCTTTCTTCCATCTCTTTGACTGTGTTTGAGTATTCTGTCTTCAAGTATTTGATCGGTATTTTAGATTTTTTTGAAAGAATTATAAGGCTTTGTACTATATAAATAGATCTATCGGAGGGGGAAAAGCCCCATATAACTCATCCTGTACATAACTGGCTTCTAGGCTTGTAGTGCTTATGTACAGTGTAGCCTGGGAAAACATTTTTCATAGTTCAGAAAAAAAAGATTCTGCAGCATTGATTTGTTAGGCTATGTCTAGCCTGCTCCCTCTTGTGCAAAAAATATGCAAATGAGGAAAAGAGTGGAATATCGCTGCACCTCATTTGTATAATTAACGAGGCTCCGTTTTTGCGCAAGAGGCTTTTGTGCAAAAGCGGCTTCTAGACATAAACTTACTGTTTAAAGAGCATTTTGAAAATGGTGTGAATAATTCACAATTGATAATCTTGCAAGCATTCTGGAATAGCTGTTTACCTAACAGAGGTCAGGGGTATGTCCCTGTAGTGGGAATGTAAATGGGGCTTTTCTATTGCTTTGATTTATTGGCTGGTGAGTTACTTTGTTACCTGTATATGAATATTTAATGCTGGGTTGTCCTGGTACTGTAGATTTAATTAACTGAGCAGGCCCTGAGATCTTTGTATGGCTGTTTCTTAATGTTTGACTTTATGAAGTGCACATGTGAAACAAATTAAATTAAGTGCATAATACCTCAATAACCCACAGAACTTGCTGGTTAACACTGTTATTAGCTCTTGAGATGTTACCATGGGTCTTGTAATAGTGATGATTTTTTTTTTTAAATCTGTAAAACTTAGATTTAGGAGAACACCAAATAATTTTGGTTTTCGTTTTAAAATTACAATATGTTTCTAGCTCTCTTAGTTATAGAGATGAACTTGAAAACGTGAACCCTAAAGATTCAAAAGCCAGAAGGCAAACAAAAACCTCCAAATGTGTTGTTTTAGAAATCTTTGTTTTTAAGCCAATCTTATGATTTTTTTGGAGGGCCTGACTCAAGGTGTTTGATTGCTTGGCTTTGCAATACTGGACTAGACTGTGCCAGACTTCTCTATTTTGAGTTATTGATTCACTGAGGACTAGTTTTTGAAAAGCTGCATGCATTTGTATTACTTTTGTGGCAAAAGGACATTTTATCTAGAATGACTTTGTGGACAGTACCGTTCTTTTCCTCCAAAGTATTATTTTCAGAGCCTTTTGCTGTGTTATTCAGTCAAATTGCATCATAATGACTGATGTCCAGAAGGATTTGAATTATGTCAGTATAGTGGTAAAATAGAAAACATTTTAAAAAATGGCCTAATTGTGGGCAATATTTTCCCTTATGCATAACTGTCTCTCCACGGTTGGAAGGAAGAGAGGTACAGATGAGAAACAAATTACATTCACTACACCTGTGAAAAAGAATATCCAGAAAAGGAGAGTTTCTGTGCAAAGCTTGATGGGAAAAAAAATAGCATGTGAGGTAGTGGTCACCAACCAGTAGATCGGGATCTATCAGTAAATCTTGGAGCCTCTGACAGGGGATGCTGACTGGCTTGGCCAGCAGCTATCAAGTGCTGGCACTTCAGTTGCCTCTCCACCTACTGTCATGCTTGTCTTGCCCTCTGCCTTGAAGCTCCCCTTGGGGGGCTCCTGCTTTCTGTGTAGAGTGTGGGAGGGAGGACTGATGTCAGGGTGTTCCTCCCCCCCCCCCCCGTACCCTATCTCCACACAGAGAGAAGGGGATGGAGGGAGCTTGGCAGTGCAAATCTGTCACGCTCACACTGTGTGTGTCATTTCCACACACACACACACACACACACACACACACACACTGTCCTTCACTCTCATCTCAGTTCCAAGGGTGTGTGGGACTTGAATCCACCACCCTGCACTCCCCAGGCAAACGCCGTATTCCCCTAGGCCACTCCAGAACACAGCCCACCTCCCTACCTTCAGCAGGTCCCTTATCCTGCTTTCCAAATGTGGGAGCGCGCTTCATCCCCTGGGCAGCCTGTGTTGGCTGACTGGTTGCTCCCAGACTGGGCAGGACTTGAGCCCCCAGTCCTGGGCTCCCTAGGTGAATGCCCTATTCCACTCCAGAACCCACCCCATCTCCCTCCCTTCAGTGGATCCCTTATCCTGCTTTCCTAATACAGGAGCCTGCTCTATCCTTGGGGCAGCCGGTGTTGGCTGCCCTGCCGCTGCTTGGATGGGTGGGATCAAGCCCACCACCCTGTGCTCCAGAGGCTGATGCTGTATCACTGAGTTCACTGGAAATCCCACCCCACCTCTCCATCTGTGGAGCAGCCAGTATTAGCTGTCCAGCTGCTCCCAGGGGAGGTGGGACTGGAGCTCCCAACCCTGTGCTCTCCCTGCAAATGCCATATCTCTTAGGCCGCTGCAAAACATACCCCACCGCCAGAAGGTTCCTTATCCTACTTTCCTAATGTGGGAGCTACCTCCATTCCTGGGGCAGCCTGGGCAGCCTGTCTGACTGCTCTCAGGGTGGGTGGGAAGCAAGGCCCCCAATTCTGCACTCCCTACACAGAGAGCTCCCAACCCTGTGCTCTCCCTGCAAATGCCATATCTCTTAGGCCGCTGCAAAACATACCCCACCGCCAGAAGGTTCCTTATCCTACTTTCCTAATGTGGGAGCTACCTCCATTCCTGGGGCAGCCTGGGCAGCCTGTCTGACTGCTCTCAGGGTGGGTGGGAAGCAAGGCCCCCAATTCTGCACTCCCTACACAGACATTCCATTCAAGAACCCATACCACCCTCCCTACCATCAGGCAGTACCTTATCCTGTGTTGGCTGTCTGGTTGTTGCCAGGGGGTGGGACTTGGGCTACCTAGGCGAGATGGGACTTGAACCCACCACACTGTGCTCCCCAGGCAAAGGCCCTATCCCCTAAGCTATTCCAGAACCTAGCCCACCTCTCTACCTTCAGAGAGTCCCTTAATCCTGCCTTCCTCATGTGGGAACCAGGTCCATGTTGGGGAGAGTCAGTGTTGGCTGTCTGGTCACTCACAGGGTGGGTGGGGGGGTGGAGAGTTCTAGGACTTGAACTCACCACCCTGCCTTCCCCAGGCTAATGCCCTATCCCCTAGGCCACTCCAGAGCCTGCCTTACTTCAGGGTGTCACCTCCCACTCTCCGAACCCCTTGGCCCAAGACCAGAGCCTGTACCTCAACCCCCTACCCCAGCCTGGTGAAAGTGAATGAGATTCAGGGAGGAAGGGGGATGGAGTGAGCAGGATGAGGCCTCGGAGAAGGGGTGGAGCAGGGGTGGGACTTCTGGGGCGGGGGAAGGAAGCCGGGCAAGGGTATTTGGGTTTGAGGTAGATCTTACATTGCACTTATGTTGAAAAAGTGATCTTGTGGTTAAAAAGGTTGCAGGACACTGATGTAAGGTGTGGATAGTTAAAGAGAAATGCCTAGTTCAGAACTTCTCTTTCTGCGTTTACTGGTTGAATTCCATGTTTCTAATATGAGAAATGGATAAAAAATGAAATATTATCTAAAGCTTAAGGATATCTTAACATTGGCTCTTAACAGTGTTGACCATACTCTACAGATGTGTCATCTTTGTTGTTTTACAGGATGGGGAGAAACGCACCCCGCTTCATGTCGCAGCTTTTCTGGGGGATGCAGAGATCATTGAGCTCCTCATTTTGTCAGGTAATGTGAAGTATGAATTAATCATTGCCAGCGAAACCAATGTTGCAAACTACAGTGAATGCCCCAAGGAGACATCATTAACTTACGCAAGTGAAATCTGGGCTGAGTCCATCTCTGAGTTCCAAGGAGTATCATGCTGTTTGCAGGATAAGAGAACCAGTTTACTTTACTTAATATAATGAATTACAGTAGAAGATTTTCCTGGCATTGCTTGGGTCCTTAACTCAAGTACATTTTTTGTTTTTCTTCATTTAAATAATTGTTCTGGGGCTGGCAATGAGGGGTTCAGTTTGCAGCAGGGGTGGGCAAAATCAGGCCCTGGGTCCGGATCAGGCCCACCCAGCTGCCTATCAAAGTATGCATACTTACAGCTGACAGCAGATGTTCTGCTGCCTCTCCCCTTCCACCTTGCTCCTTTCTGCAGCAGAGCTGCTCCCAGGATTCTCCTGCTAGCTGTGCAGAGCAGGGAGGGACATGCAAGGGGCAGTGCTGAAGTCAGAGTGTCCCCCTGCTCCTGCCCCCATCTTTGCAGCGCAGGGGTCTGGGAGAGAGACATACAGCAGAGCTGCTCCAGTCTGAAGCATGGATGGTGAGTTTCTCAGAGCAGTGCAGACTCGGGGAGGAGGGAGACAGGGCAGATTTCCCTTAAAGAAACTGCATGTGGCTTCTCTCAGAAACGTACCCTGCAGCAGCCGGCACACACGTTCTCTGTGTCACTCTCTCACACCCCCGGTCTGTGCTCCTGGCTCTGCCACACACAGTCACTGTCACGTACACACTGCTGCATGCACTCGACCTGTGTCCCAAAGTCTCTGTCTCACACACAAAGGGTCTCTCTTTCACTCTCACACACTCTTTGTCTTTCTCTGTAGCTTCCCACCCTGTCCTTTCTGCTTGAGGCCACACCCCTTCCAGGGGGCCCACAGCCAACCCATGACCATGTGCCAAAATTTGCGAATTGCCCCCTTCCCTCCCTCTGCCGCAAAAATTATTGCCCACTCCTGTATACAGGCTGCCCCAGGGAGAGAGAACACCCCCAGCCCTCTCTCTCTGCAGCAAATTGAGGCCAGGTGAGAAGCACCTGTCCATGGCTACTGCAGTGGGCACAGCTGGGGGAGGGGTTCATGTCTCCCGGCAGGAGGACAGACAGACAAACTCCCTGAAATATATAGTAGATAACTGTCCCTTTCTCTGCCCCTGCCCCTTACTGGTCCAGTGGTTTTATAGATGTCCTAGTCCCTATCTCTGGCCCCTTGCTCCTCCCTTGTGGTCATTCTACAGTGTAATTCCCTCCTGCCAGACCCTTCCCTTTCCATTTAATGAGAAATATTCAAAATCAAGGCACATCCCGGTATCCAGGCACAACCAAACCCTGACCTTGCTTTAAATTATGATAAGAGGAAGCTGCATCCCAAATTTGATGGGCCTAGCTCTTACTATTTAGGAGGAGTTCTTGAACCAACGGACTCACAGGTGGACAGACAGACAGATGCACATTTCTAAAACATAGTAAGAAGAGAAGACAATAACGTACTTTAAAACTAACCAAGTGAACAAAAAGTATGAATTGTTATCAATTTGAGGTGCATTAAAACTATTTGATATTTGCAGATTCAAAAAACAAGTTCAGCACCCGCTTGAGACCATCCTTATTTAGCAAATGACAGGAGCATATGTTCACTTCTGCATGGGCATCCTTTATGCTAGGCAGGGGCAAACTTTTCCTTCCCAAACCGCCAGACATCGCACCGCCCACACTCTGTTCCCAGAATGCCTGTTTTAGGCATTCTGGTGGTAGAGTGTTGCTGCTCCTAGTGCCCACCTGCCTGGTGCTCCAGGGCTGGAGAGGCTGGGCCAGGCTGCACAGTGCTCTCTCCTCCCTCCCCCAGTGCTCTGGGTCTGGAAAAGCTGGGCTCAGCCAAGCCAGGCCATGCAGCACGCCCGCTTTCGGGGCTAGGGAGGCTGGGGCGAGCACAAGTCAGCTCTTTCCCCTTTCCCTCCTGTAGTTGGGAGGGGGGAGCATGTGTGTGGCCTCCCCTGGCCCCGCCTTCACCAACCACCCATGCACTTCTGATGTCTCCTGTGGGATTTAATCACCTGCTTAGTTTTTTATTTTGGCTGCAAAGTGATGGATGGATCCTTATGTGTAAATATAGAGCACGATACTGATTCCACCGGGTAATGTCAAATCTCTCTTTGCATAGTTTTGTGATATAAAGAGATGGAATATTGAGCACTGGACTGTGAATTTTCATTGCAGCAGCTAACACGGACAAATTCTTTGATCTCAGACAAAACATTTATCCTTCTCTGTATTGGTTTCCAATTTGCAGTAGGAACATAACACCCACCACATTTGTAGAGGCATGTGGTTAATAATCAGTAGTGCTTCTAAACAATTTTGAAAATGAAAGACATGTATGATAGTCGTTAGAATAAAAGGTAGATTACAGGTAGTCCCCGGGTTATGTACAAGATAGGGACTGTAGGTTTGTTCTTAAGTTGAATTTGTATGTAAGTCGGAACTGGTACATATTTTGGGGGGGGACGGGGAGCTGGAGTTAGGTGGAAAAGACCCTGATTCTCATACAACTTCCTTATTCTAAGAAAAACACATACTGTTTTGATATGAAGGTTTTTTTGGTTGATATTTTAATTAAAAATTGATCATAAGTTTCAGGGTTTCATGCTATATCCAAATTTTCCTTTTGGGGTACCTGAAAGATCCCAGTTATTCATTTAATAGTCAGAATCTTTGTTTTTTATAACTAAAAAAAGTTTATTCAATGCATATTACTGTTCCAAATAGAATTTGCTACAGATGGTTCAGTGAAATGGGTATTAAGTGTAATCAATAGTCATTGGAGAGCACAGTGAAATATTGATACAATCAAAGCTGTTGTTGTATTCTGCTGAGCAGAAAATGGAAATGCCTTCCTGTGAAGTGTGTGTGTGAATTTATCCACAGGATTAATTTTAAAGAAAAATTCTGTGTTGGGAACAGGAGTTTAGCCACAGGTGGGTCCTCGTTGTCCACTCACCCACTTTGCAACCAGACCCATCCCCTTGGGGCTTACCCTGCTCCACTCCAGCCAGGGTGTGGGGTTGGGGCTTATCCCCTCTTCCCTTCTGTCCTGCTCCTCCCCATTTTTGCCCACCCACAACACTGGGTAATTTTTCAGCTTCACCTCTGCCAGGCTGGAAGGGACTTGTTAATTTCACGTGACGCTAATAAGATACTTGCAGCTCTAGTGCTGAAGAGGGGAAGAGCTGTTGCTCCCAAGGTGGGGACTGTAACACAATGGGTCTCACTGCCTGCTGCTCCTGCTGTTCCCTAGGAAATTAATTTTTCCGCTCTGGAGTGCCCCCTTTTGGCTGGTGTCTTGTTCCCCCCAGCAGACCCGCGTCCTCCGCGGTGAGAAAAGCCGCTCCGCGTCTCCCTGGTCTGCTGGGCGGGGGGCGCTAGCTCCGCGTCTCCCTGGTCTGCTGGGGGGAAGCGCCCCCCGTGCCGCCGGAGGTGGCGACAGTGGGGGAGGCACCCCGCACTAGCTGCGCCCCCCGCCCCCCGTTTGTAACTAGGGATCCGACATAAGTCGGATTGATGTAACCCGGGGACTGCCTGTAGTGACTTTAGAAGAAGCATAGAAGGTTCATGGCTAACTCCTGGACATTCCTGCAAATGTCTAAAGGCCATGTGTTTCTACACCAGATTAAGAGTAAGACTTATTACATTACAGAAGAATAACTGAGAGTGAGGAGGAAGCTACGGGTTGAAAGAGTAAGGAGCTTGATGCAATAGGAAATAAGTTTATCAACATCCTTGAAGTGGTAAGAATTGAGTTCAGGTGTATATCTGTTCTATATCTGATCTTTAAGCTATTGCACGCTATTGCACATATCCACACAGAATAATTAATTGCTAATTTGTCTTCTGAAAAGCAGACCTCAGATGAAGTTTTGGTTTTCAGATGTGCAAATTTGGATGCTTACCTTGAATTTCTAGTAAAGAATTTGGGCTTTAATGTCACAAGAACAAGCTCTGCTGCAAAATTTCCAACTCTTTCTCTGGTCAGGTAGGGAAGGAAATGTCACAAAAGAGTCTGTTCACAGCATTTCTACTTGTGACCAAATGCAGGATATGAAGAGATTACCCAAATTTAAAAGAGGTTTGGAAAGCTAATTAAACTTGCTCCAACCTAGAAAAAAGCTTGTTATAGTTTGGGGCAAGAGTGTAAGGTAGCTAAGATTTTATACTGCACTTTAAGGGGGGGAAGAACCACATGCAGCTTGCGAGCTGCGGGTTGGCCAGCCCTGCCATACTGCATTCAGTTGGGGGAAGAAAGCGACAATCTCAAAAACCATACCCAGAGTATGTCCAGACTGCACGTTTTGCCGACTTAGCACTTTGTCGGCAAAAAGCGGCAGTCTAGAGGGGGATCTGTCGAGAAAGAAATCCTTTTTCGACAGATCCCTTATGCCTGCTGCAAGGCTTTCTTTCTTGACAGATCCCCCTCTAGACTGCCGCTTTTTGCCGACAAAGTGCTAAGTCGGCAAAACGTGCAGTCTGGACATACTCTGGGTATGGTTTTTGAGATTGTCGCTTTCTTCCCCCAACTGAATGCAGTATGGCAGGGCTGGCCAACCCGCAGCTCGCAAGCTGCATGTGGTTCTTCCCCCCCTTAATTTGCAGTTTGCGAAGTCTCCCCCGTGGCTTGTGAAGCTGCCCCTGCACCCCTTAAAATGGGCCCCCGGTTCCCTGTGCTTTCCGTCCAGTGTAGAAAAGCAAAATGGCACCGACAAGATGGTGCCAGCTGACAGGAGCCTGATGTGGCCAAAAAGCCACCCAGAGTTTTGTCTTTTTCCCCTCGACCAAATGCAGCTGGGGCTGGGTTTTTTTTTTTTCTTGACAAATTTTTCCCTCAGCCCTTTGTGCAATATCCCCAACTATTGTGGCTCTTTGCCTTTAACGGGTTGGCCACCCCTGAAATATGGCATCACAC